GCAGCGTCAGGCGGTTCTCTTCGCAAGTTTGCAACGGGGACATCCGCGGTTCTGCCATTCGACACAATTTATGCACTTTCACAATGCACTCCTGATTTGTCCCAGCTGCAGTGCACCTCTTGTTTGGATGATTCTATTACACAAATTCCGATTTGTTGTAATGGAAAACGAGGAGGCAGAGTGGTTGGACGAAGCTGCAATTTAAGGTTTGAGATCTATTCTTTCTATAATGTTACTGCTGATGGACAACCACCATCACCACCGCCACTGTCTCCTACGCCCACAAATGGTACCACAAGATTACGACCGGGTAAGGCAGAGTCGGCTGTAGTTCTGAACAATTCAGCACTTAATTAATTAGATTTCTTTGATGAAAGCACCATCTTGATTTTGTAGGAGAAGAGGGGAATTCATCTCGGAATATCATCATAATAGTGGTCTCGACCATTGTTTCTTTGATTTTTATCATCCTACTCTGCATCTGCATCCTTTCCGGAGTGAGGAAGTCAAAGAAGATTGTTGGAAGTAAGTCTAAGCTGATGTTCTTTACTATATTCCTGGGAGCATTTTTTATTCCTTATGCTTTAAGAAAAGGAGCAGTTTCGTACCCATATAAATAAATATGTCACTATCGTCTCTCTGTTTTTTTTTTTTTTTTGTTGGTAAGACACTATCAAGAGAAATTACCTCAAAAAAGAGAAAAGCAAAACATTTTCCCCTCTACTTTCAAACAAGAGAAATTCATCCCTCTATTTCAAAAAAGAGGCATTTTTTGTGCCTCCTCTAACCCAATTACTTCATTAATTCTATGGACAAGAATATCTTGTTTTTTAAAATAGAGACACGAAGGTGAATTCTTTTGTTTATAGATGGATGGAAGTGCCCTTTTTTTAGAAGTAAAGAGACAAAAAGTAGCTGACCCTTTTTACCTTAGATATTGGAATTCTTTCTAAAGAAACATTGAATTTGGAAAAATGTTGGTGTAAATTAATTCTTTTATGGCTTAACCCCCTATGCCCTTCTCCAACTTGTCATCATTGAGGGTTTTAACCCCTAAACAAACAATATTTGTTATTTAGCTCTTGAACGTGTTGGTTTTGGCCCAAAATTGACTACAGTTAATCATGTTCATCCTTAACTCGTTAACCCATGCCTACTCAATAGCAATTAGTCACCTTTATTGGTCTAGCTTGGACCATTTTTCTTCCAACGCGGCAATGACATGGTATTGAGAAGGTATGAGTTAATGGCTTAGGAACAGGTGTGACTAACTCTTGTCAATTTTGGGTTAAAACCCTCAAAGACAACAAATTTAAGGGCTATATAACAGATATTATTTGTTGAGGGGCTAAAAGCCTCAATGACAACAAGTTGGAGGGGGGCACCGGGGGTTAAGCCTTCTTTTATTAATCCCAAATGTTTTAATCTTTTACTCATTGTTTGTTTTTCCACATTAGAAGCAGATGAAGCTGTTGAAGATGAAATCCAAAGTGCAGAGGCATTGCAATATGATTTTAGCACCATTAGAGTTGCAACAAGCAACTTCTCCGAAATAAACAAGCTTGGACAAGGTGGTTTTGGTGCCGTTTATAAGGTAAATAAATAATATTTTTTCATTTCAATAAACACCCTTTATCTGGTTTTGTAGTCAGGGCTAAAGGGTGTTCAGAAATAACAAACACTTTACTCATCAATTATGATGTGAAATAAAATGGGGATTCTTTTTAAGAGTAGCTTAGATTAATTTACTTGATTTATTTTTAGGGTAAGCTTGCCAATGGACAAGAAATAGCTGTGAAGAGGCTATCAATGAATTCTGGTCAAGGTGATCCAGAATTCAAAAATGAGGTTCAGTTGGTGGCCAAGCTACAACACAGGAATTTAGTTAGGCTCCATGGTTTTTGCTTGGAAAAAATGGAAAGGCTTCTTGTTTATGAGTTTGTGCCAAATTCTAGCCTCGATAACTTCTTATTTGGTATATCTCATCCCAACTTCAATTTTAGATTCTATAAACAATATTGGAAGAACATGGTCCGAAATATTATTTTCTTATTTATATGATTTTTTATAGATCCGATCAAATGCACTCAACTAGATTGGGAAAAACGTTACAAAATTATAGAAGGTGTTGCTCGAGGACTTCTCTATCTTCATGAAGACTCTAGACTTCGGATTATTCATCGTGATCTTAAAACCAGCAATATTTTGTTAGATGCAGAGATGAAACCAAAAATTTCAGACTTTGGCATGGCAAGATTGTTTGGGATGGATCAAACTCAAGATGCAACAAGTAGAATTGTAGGAACATAGTAAGTATTAGAATTCACTACCTATAAACTTAATGACACCTCACCATACACTATAGATAGCTTGTCAATATTAATTATTTACATTTCTTATCTTATTGGCATTGAATAACAGTGGATATATGGCTCCTGAATATGCAATGCATGGACAACTTTCAGTTAAGACTGATGTTTTCAGTTTTGGAGTGCTAGTTCTAGAGATTGTAAGTGGTCAAAAGAACAATTCCTTCCGTCATCAGGACAACGCAATTGACCTTATTAACTATGTAAGTATGGATTTAAACTAACATATCAAACTGAAATTTTTTAAGAGATTGTAGTCCATTTTTATGTTCTGATTCTTAATTATATATTTTCCTGCAGACCTGGAGAAGTTGGAGGGAAGGGACGGTAATGAACATCGTAGATCCTAATTTGATGGAGGGTTCGAGAGCTGAAATTATGAGATGCATCCATCTGGCGTTGCTTTGTCTGCAAAAAAATGTAGCGCAGAGACCAACCATGGCTTCAATTGTCCTAATGCTTACAAGCTATTCCGTGTCTCTCCCTGCACCCTCACGCGTTGGATTCATGCACAGTGTCTCTCAGTCAGATATGTCATCTTTGCAGGATTTCAACTCAAGGTCAATAAAATCCCACCAATCCAGACATGATGCTTCCTTGGCATCGAACAATGAGGTTTCACTTACCGAGCTTGATCCAAGATAACGTGAAGACATGTAACTGCTGTTTATATTATGATAATTAGCATTCTTCATTCTTTTTTTCGGATAGATCCTCCTTTCTGTCCCAGCAGACTATTGAATTTTGTTTGTACTTAGAGTATGGAAATAATTTAATTTAATTCAGTCCTGAAACCTCTTGTGTTTAAAGAGTATTAAACCATAAAATGATTGATTTTATTATAAAAAGAAGAAAGAAATGTTCAAACTGAAGAAAAGTTAAACACAGTGATAGAAAAAGAATACTGAATTATATTCAAATTTCATGATGTTCTGTACAATGACATATGTATATATAATATTTACATGACATGTTTCCACGCCTAGAATTATGCAGAAGATTGTTGTTTTGACTGTTGCTCAATTTCTGCATTATGACCGTTAGGGA